TCCGAGTGAAATATGAATTCCTATTAGCCGCTTCCTGGAACCGGGGCCCGCGCGTCGTGTCCGCGGGGCCCGCCGGGCCCCCTCTCTTCCTCGGCCGAAGGTGTTAAGCTCCGAGAGGGGGCCCGATTTAATCCCCGGTGCTTTTTAAATGGGTCCCGCGGGAAGGGCGACGCCGCGGCCGAGTCGAAACATCAACGGGCCCCGGGCCCCAGGGTCCGTGGCGTGCACAGATCCGCGGCGCCCTTTGTGCCGACCCGCCTAGGCCCGAGGCCGCGTCAAATTTGCTTGAAAATCAAATTAATCTCGCGGCTGGGCGCAGGACCCTCTCCCGTCTCGCTCGCTAAAGGCTACCACCTTCCCTCCCTCTTTCTCCTTCTCTTTCTCTTTCTCTTTCTCATTCTCATTCTCTTTCCCTTTCTTCTTCTTTCTTTCTTTCTTTCTTTCTTTCCGAAGGGGGCCTTCTTCGTCTCTCGCTTCTCTAGTCGCCTCTTTCTCGGTCCCTCGGGCCCCGATCGGTCAGAGGCTGTCTTTGTTCCGCGTGCCCTCGACGACACGAGCAAATCGAAGGAACGGGACTGAGAGAGGAAGAAGATAGAGGAAGGAGGTGGACCCCGGAGGTCCTCCACGCCACCGACACGGACCTAGAGGCGAGAAGAGAAGGTGGCGCAGCAACAAAGAGCTTTGGACTTCTGGCTGCGACCCCGCCAGGGCCGTATTTATCTGGCACGGACGATAAACATGCCGTTCGACGTCCATCGGTCGACTTTCGCCTCCGAAACGTTTAACATCTTCGAACTCGTTTACGCGGCTGCTCTCTGCTCGCTCCTCGGACCTCGATCTTGGGAAACTTCTAATTTTTCTACCGGCAATTTAGCGAGACGAGATTCGAGTTATCTTTCATCCTTCTCTTTTTGAGAATATTATAGAAACGTTGATCGTCGAGTTTCGGATAGTTTATTCCGATTCCACAGAAATTGTTCGATCTTTCTGTCACTCGTAGATACGCGTCATTCATAGATACTTCAATATTATCTGCCGTTATTCCAACTCGCATGAAACACCAAGCAAAAGTCTAGAATACCAATCGTATCGTAATTGTTGCGTTCAACGAAGAAGCCTTTACACGATCGAAGATCGTTAGATTCGCTTCGTTCAAGACCGGTTGCCGTTCGCGCGGATTGTAAAACAGCTTCGACGTCGTGTGGTCGGGTGAAGAGATACTCGCCGTGAGTCGTGAAACTCGTCCGAATTAAGTACGTCCCTGTAGTGTCCTACTCGGTCATTCAAATCTCCGCTCGTGGAAATGAGATGGGCGGCCGGGGCCGTATAGGCCGTATAGAATAGCCGCCGCACACCTCCCCTTTCGCCGGCACGTACAGGGTGATTCAACAAGAATCACCCGAGAGCTCTAATTTGCTGACTATCGTGTGTTTAGGCTAATTTGCGGCAGGTGTAGGAAGCTATTAGTAAACGTCAACGTCCCTCCGACACCGAACCCCGTCTCCGCAACCGAAACCGAGACGATATCTTCGTTTCTTTGCTCCGCGTCGATCTTCGAGCTTCGTCCCGCTTTCGAATTAAAATAATATCAGCCGCGGCGGAACCACGAAAGCTCGAGGCGGTGACATTTAGAAAATGCTTTGGGAAAAGGGAATGCGACGAAAATTTGTCCAATTTCGGTATCATCGGACTCGCGTGTACAAATACTGGCATCGAACCGCGGAAGCTAAGAGAGCCGCATTTTATTTTCCAAAGTAGTTCGTAACGGGAATGCAATGAAATGTAATCTAATTTCGATTACCTTGGACTTGTCTCTTAAAACGCTAGCGTGCACGAATTTGCGCGGTTCACCGATAACTCGTACACAAATTGGAATCGACGCTATAAATCTCATCTTTATTCGTCGCGCGTGAAGAAACACAGCCGACGAAGCTCTAGAGCCTAATAATAACGAAACTTCATAGTACAGCAGTTTCCACGTTGAAACGATACCTTAGTCATCCTATAACGAAAATCCAGAAAATCGAATCAACCGAGCCGAGGATTTTCCCGGGGCACCAGGCTCTTCTCGATCCATGATCGGGTTTAGGTCGCGGTTGGATCGCGGCCGCGGCGGCGGCGGCTTCCGTTCTTCTTGGAAATCGGAATAAGAAACGCAGGATGGAAAGAGCAGAAGAGGAGGAGGAGAGGAGGAGAGAAGCGGACGAGGGGGTCCGCGTGAGAATAAAGTAGAACGGGTAGCCACGCGGAGAAAGGAAAAGGTTCCACGAACGAAGAGCGACGGGATGAAACGGTGGAAGAAAAGGCCGGGGCGGAACGTCGAAGAAGCCGGAGGAACACGGGAGGGAAGAGGGCCGCAGAAGGAGAGGGATCGGAATTGAAATGCATCGGAGGGGAACGAAAAGTTGATCCTCTCCTGGAAATACCGGGGACCAATTGTCCGGGAAGGGACGAGATTCCTTCTGTTGTCAGGAATTCAACTCGCGAGTCCAACGACAAAGTGAATTCCTGAAGGGCTGAAAACGGAGGATGCACGAAACGGGTCCGTCGGCGAAACGGATCCGAGGCTTTGCTCCGGACTTCGGGCTTCGAAAAAAGGGCCGCGGCCGGTGTGCTCCTCGTAATTGGAACCTGCACATCCCTTTACCTTGTCGTGCCTGCCACTTGTTCGACGGTGATCGTCCAAAGGATCAAGGAAGATCGTACGATGAGATTGACGCTTTTTTTCCGTCGCCATCGATCCGGCCACCAGGGCCTCCTCTCTCTCTCTCTCTCTCTCTCTCTCTCCCTTTCTCGATACTTGCTCTCTCTCTCTTTCTTCGTTCGGCTCTTTTACCTTTCTCCGTCTCGTTGATGCTGCCCCCGCTGCTTCAACGGGGCGAGCCCCCTCTCGCTATACCGAATTATTGCTTCATTACAGATCGCTGCGCGAATGTAATCGCGTCGGACGACGCTGACTCGGATCGGCTAATTAGGAGACTGCCAAACGCAACTAGTTTGTTACACGTTCCTGGACTCGCGTCTACTTCGTCCGTCTCGACTGCGGATTTTTTGCTCCCGCGACAGAACCGAACGGGTGAAATCTCGAGCACGCAGTCGACTACAATAGTCGAAGAAAGAAAGAACTTTTTATTCGAATTACGCTAACTCGTGCAATCGATGCGGAACATTTTTGCCTCGCGTAAAGATTCTCGATCGAGTTTCGATCGACGCGTATGAAAATGAACGGAGACAATTTGATGCGAACGAGCAACGAATATTCGATGGAGGAATACCAAAGTCCGAAACGATATCATCGCCGTACGGAAGAATCAAGATTCGTACCAATTTCCAGCGGACACCGGAGAATTCGTTGGAAGCATTGATTTCCCTGGAACCGGTGAAAACCACAGGAGAAAAGCGGAGTCAGGGTCCCCGACTCGAGGCGAGCAATTTCGGAAAAATCTGCAGCTGCATAATGCATTCGTGGCGCAACAGTGATCGTTCCGCGAGCAACAAGCCGTCGCGCAGTCGTTTTTCCGTGGTTTTACCGCAGCTTTTCCGTGGTCGTGCCGCCTCGGGGGAAGAGCTCGGTCTCGGTCTCGGTACGCGACGCCGGAAGGAGATGCATCGCGTATTCAAGACCCGTACCAGAAATCCGCCGCTATTTATGGCCGGCACATCCACGAGAAAGTCTCCCGTTCACCAGCGATCCCGAGGAGCGCCGCGGAATTCCGTTATCTCGGAATCTGGGCGACTTTAAAATTCGAGCATCCCGAGCCGACGCGCCGCGTCGCGCGTCCTCGGAAATCGGGGAATCGAGCCGACGATTTATGAATGAAGCACCGATACCGGGGCCCCCTCTATTAACCCCGTGTTCCCTTGGACCGGGCCCCGTCGCGTTTACGAGCCCCCTATGTGCACGAGGCGAGGCGAGGCGGCCTCGCTTTAAACAAAATTCACGCGACGAACGCGACGAAAAAAGGAAGAGCCGACAGGGCCCGACGGAAGACGGCACCACGACAAATCTCGGTGACGTAATTTCAGACGGTCGTCGAACCGGGGACCTCGGGCTCGAGCGGGCCCGTGGGCCCGACGGTGGGACTGTGCCCACTTCAATTTTTCAATCGCGAGTAACAATTTTCTAGGCTCTCTGGATATCCTTCCCGTTGGATCGTGCTGTAGAAAATTGCGAAAATTGCTTAGGTAGCAGAGTTATTTCTCTGTAACGTAAAGTTATCTCTCGCTTGGGATATTATCGACGCGACTTTTTGCCGTCAAGTATTTATGAAGCACGCAGTTCGGAACAGTTGCTATTGCGACCATTGTTGCGCTTCCTTCTCCGTCGATTTTTTGTCTGCGAGGTTCTAGAAATTAGAATACAGTTCGGCGCACCGATTAGATAAAAGACCCTGACACAACTTTGAACTAAGGTATTTCATAAATACTTAACCCGTTGCCTTCGAATCGCGACCTCGAGGCGCCGTTAAAAATTATCGCGCACAATCCGTAACGATCTCTATGGAAAATATTCCGAATGGAATAAAATTGCTGACGTGTCGAGAAACGTTGAATGAAGTATACTCGCGATAATTAAGATTCTCCTGGCAAGGAGCGACAGTATGCGCAACGCGGCACCGCGACAAACTCGCGGCAGTCGTGTGATTCGCCAGTATCGACGGTCTCGACTCGCGACTTTCATTCATCCAAGGTGGGGAACATCGACTGCACACGTGCACTCGTGATCGGCGCTCGGCGTTTAGCACCCAGCGCTCGGCGCGGCTCTCGGCTCGGAATCGGAATTGGAATTGCGATCGGAATCGCGATCGCGATCGCGATCGCGAAATTCCACGGCGAGTTGCTCGGCCCTCGCGCCGCGCCGCGCCGCGCCGCGCCTCGCGGAGAAAGTTTCGAGTCCCGCGGCTCTTTTTTACCTGGCAACCATTTCACAGCGGCAACCGTTTCGACCGATCGGTTGGAAAGATTCGGATACCCTCTCTCTCTCCCTTTCATTGTTCCAGGGATCATGGGATCGACGTGTCATCTGACGGTGGCGGTCCTGCTGCTCGTCCAGTCGACCCTTCTTCTCGCGCACCGAGAGCACAAGGTTTATCGATCATCTTCGACGATACATACCGATCCGTCCGTTCCCTAGTAGTGCTGTTCCAGGGCGCGTAGTTAACAATCTGGAGCGACGTGACCTTTAAGGATTGTTCCTGGAAAAATTGCTAGACATACGTTTTTAATCGGTACCTTGCTCAAAAGTACGTATGCCTTATACCTTGCGATCATATTTTAGCTGGAAAATCGTGAAAGATACCCCCCGAAGGTATCGCCGATATTTCTACAAGGTGCACGACGTGCGCGCTTTTACCTGGCACAATTATTTCAGGACAAGTTCAATGGGAAACGTCGAGCAAGGGTCTACGGTACAGCGTTCGAATTGGGCGCGACGCGTCGATCCTTGTTCGAGGTTTTCTTTCGATTCTCGAAGGTCACGGTTTCTTCGGATCGCGAGCTAAATCCGAACGACGACGTTGAACGCGATCGTTCGTTTCAAGGTCCACAACATCGTGCTCTACCCTGACAAGCACAGCTGGTGCAAGACAACCCCCATCAAGCAGGTAGTCACATGGCCGCAGTGTTCCTCGAAGGAGTTGGACAACAACGTGTGCGTCGGCGCTTGTTTCTCGTACATGGTGCCCCATAGCGAGCCGTCCGCGCCCGGCGACCTCATCAGGCCATACTGCGACTCGTGTCAGCCCCTCGACAGCGTCTGGCACACGGTAAATTAACGAGCGGCCGGACGACAACCACCCTGTTACCCTGTTACGCTCCCTCGCGCCCCTTATCACCGTTTAAACCTGTTCAGCCACCTCCGGAACATTCGGTAACGCTATCTTCCGTTTTCTAATTCGCTCGACACGCTCGATCTTATCTCCGGCCGCCTATCCGAACCCATCGCGGCGTTCTTGTTTCTTCAATATGCCACCGTTAAAATCCGCGTTTCAATGCGAAATAAACGATCGGTCGCTCGACTTCGTGCCCAGAGAACGAAGAGACCTATTTTTCCTCACGCGGCCGTTCGACGTTCCAGGTGACCCTGGACTGCAAGGACGAGGACAACAACCCGATCACGATGCAGAAGAAGGTGCAGATCATCACGAACTGTTCCTGCAGCTCCTGCATGGAGACGTCCCGGATCAAGCCGGACTACAACACGCTCCTGCAGTCCCTGACCGAAGAGAATCTGGACAAGAACGTGAACATCGTGCACGAGACACCGGACCTTCTCCTAAACCCGAACTTGAACGCCTCGAAGAACACGACGAGAGACGGGGTGAAGGCCGACGAGCGTTTCCTGCAGCTGTACAAACACCTGAAAGACTCCAAGAAGCTGGACGAGACCGGCGAGGGCTTGTTCTCGAAGTTCGAGGAGGACATCGACTTGGAGCAGTTGAGGGAGATGATGAAGAAGTACGAGCAGGACGAGGAGAAGCAGCACTCGCACCAGCACCAGCATCAGCATCAATCTACTGGGAAACAACAGCAGCAGCAACAGCAGCAACAGCAACATCACCGAGGACCCCATCACTCCGTGGTACTGGACTCGGATGTCAAGGAGAAAATCGACGTGGAGCCGCATTATCTCCATCCTGCGGTCCCCGGCCAGGAAATCAGCTATCACGACAACGTGCTAGTGGACAAGGACAAGAAGAAGGACTTCTGAGCTCGGTCGAGATCGTGTAGGATCGTTTCTTTAATCGTTTAGGATCGTTCGTTCGGCCTAGTTCAATCCGCAGTCGATTCGATTCACTAATTCGGCATTCGAATTAATTTCGCGCTGTTATTTTTAGTAAAAGCTGGACGATGTTTCGTGGTTTCGTTTTGCAAATTGTTTCACGAGCCGAAGACTGTTCGATCGGATTCGCTTGGATTGGGCACGGGATTCAAATGTGCATGGGAGTTATTGAGAGAGAGAGAGAGAGAGAGAGAGAGAGAGAGATGAAATTCTAATATATATTTAATTATTATTATTATTAATTAACTATTTAACGTACTCGCGCGTTTAATAAAGGAAAATCGTTTGTAATTATCCCCCATCCCCCTTAGCTCTCGCAATTTTCTAGAGAACGTCCGTGGGCCGTTCGCCTCCTTTTTTTTTATCTTGTTGACTGCTTTGAAAAGTATACACTGTATCGATTGTCTCGCAGAGAATAAAGGAAGAGTCGGCACGATACATCGTCGAGATGGATCCGGGACACACACACACACACACACACACAATCCTGAAGATTCCTTGATCACGAGAGAGATTCGGAACGTTCGCGATTCGAAAGACTTCTTCGATCCTGAATCCTGAACATCCTTTTATTCCAGAGCGTCGAGGATATACTCGAAGTACCAAGCATTACGATATCGAAACGGTAATAAACGAGAATGCGTGAATAATTAGAGACGATTCCCTTCGACGCATCGTTTCGAGACAATTAAAACGCTCGTTCGTTTCGAAGTATACGTACGCTAAAGTCGAACAGAGCACTCGACGAACATCGAGAGCCCGATTAATTATGGTACGACAATTGATAAACAGGCAACGAGTTTTGCCGATTGCAGGAAGAGTGGCTCGCTCCAAAAAAGTGTCGCGGCGATTAGATAGCGTCTCGATGAATCAAACGGGAGCTTGACTCACATCCACTGGCTCCGTTAATTGCGAGCACGTGGAACGGGTTTCGCGAGAGAAAGAGGTATCAACGATTGAAATTCCTATTCGATGATCGACAAAGGCTGTCACCGGCGTCGTACGATTTTCGCAGACGATCGACGATCGCGCGTGCTGGATTTCGCTCTATCGGACGCATTCTTTCTCAACGACGTTAAACGATCCGCGCAAGAAGCGGACCGTCGATGGTCGTCGGACGACAGCCGCGCGCGATCGACAACCGGCATCGCCGATTTCTGTGGAAACGAGCTCGACGAAGAAAAAGGATAACTCGGGGGAACCCATTCGTCGATCGTGGACTCGTGCCGGAGCTGGAGGGCTGTCGGAGTGGAAATAAAGCGATCGGATGCACGAACAATTCGAGGTGAAAACAGGAGCACCGAAATTCGACTTTCTCCATCGGTAAAAAGCGAATACCCGGAGGGAAATGCGGAAACGCGTTCCGCGATGGTAATTAATGGCCTGGGAACCTCTGGTCCGGATCCAGGACATTTTCGCGAGTCCAGGCAGCTGTTTTTCGCATTGTTCGACCCGAACGACCTCGTAGCGGAAAATTTCAAGTAACGAAAGAATAGATTTCCGCTAAAACTTCTGCTCGATTGAATTAGCAGTTTTGGTCGAACAACTATACCAAAGAAACGTTGCAAAAACTGATCGATCGGCGTCAAATCGCAAGAACGCGAGGTTACCAGCGACGACCATCTTGATTTCAGCCGCGAAGGAACGTCCCGTGTAAAATAAACCGTGTCTTAAATAACGGTTGAACGTTGATCCCTACTAGAACATTTCTTAGTATTTCTTAGAAGATCTGGCGGTGTTCCAACCCTGGTCTGGTATCAGCTTATAACGTAACCTCGATCGTTCTCGTAGAAGTTAATTAGGTCCCGAGCCAGCCTCCGTACTCGTTCTACACCGTATAATTACGATTTCAGATAAGCTGCTGCGGCACCGGGCCATCGGACTTTTCCAGGACATCCGCGGATACGAGTCGATTCGTTTCGAGCCGTCGAACGCACGGGAAACCTGCGTGGGCCGATCGATCGTCGCAAGGTGTCCGGAAGGGTGAGCTTCTATTTCGGAGCATCTTGGAATCTCGCCGCTCGTCTCCCCTCCCGCGCCTCGACGTAGAATCCTATCGAGAGATTAGTCCGCATCGATTCCGATAATCCCAAGTATGTTGCCTACGTACCCGATGACCCGCGACCGCTTATAAACTAAATAGCCAATTATCCGGTCTCGAGATTCGATGCTGCCAATTATTCGCTCTATTGTGGATCGGATGGTCGCGCTTCCGGTTTACGAGATAGCAAGCCTCCTTCGATCGATTCGCTTCCACCGATCCAAAACCGGGATTTCGTGTCTTAACGATCCGCAAAGGAGTACCGATGGCCCCGTACGTTCGAACAATATCATAACGTCGATCGATCGATCGTCGATACAAGCAATTGGCCAAGTTTCGAGAACACTTCGGATAATCCTAGATCCTGAGCCAAATCATCCGGGCCATTTCGGCGAAACGCTGGTTCCACCGACTTCAAATTCTCAGTGTACGGTGCTCGGCGTACTTTGACACCAGGAGACGATACATGCAAACGTCTCCAAACCTTCATCGAACGCTCTTCCCTGCGAGATCCAAGGTTCGTCGATTATATAAAAGCTCCCTTTGACAACTTTGGAGGCTCTATACTCTGAAACGACAGCGAGATCGTGCTCGCGTATCTCGAAGCCCCTAACGAGCAGCCTGTTTCAGAAAAATATCCCTGATTCGACGTCTCGAAACTGGAACATCGAACCCGAGACAGCGACCAAAAGTTAGGATTTTTGTTGCAGGAGATGGCGGCATGTAAAATCGTCAGCGGGGTCGGCCGTTCGTGAAGAGGGCTTCCAGCCGAGGAATCGTTTCTGATAAGAAAGTCCCGGGCCAATCAGAGTCGCGGGCCCGAGCGGATCGGCGCGATATTACGTGGCTCGGTAACGAGACAAGAAAGTCGCGACCGGCAGTGTTGCTCGGTGCTCCGTTGCGGGTTCCTCTGTTGCGGCCGATTGCTCTGCGCAGCCGCGCGTGCCGATCCGCGTGCGTTTCCTGACGGCCCCGGAAAAGCCCCGCGTACAATGTCCACCCGTTGCTGAACCCCGTGGAGAACGGACAACGCTGCCAAGGACACGGTGAACCGCGATGCCCGGGTCATTCCGGGCGGTTCGCGAACACCTAATTGCAGAAAATGACGCTGGGAACAGGGACGGGGACCATGGCCGGCTTGGACGAGGAGCCCGACGATCCGAGGATCGACGTCGTCAACGGTAGGACCATGTTACTTTTTCACGTAGGTTGTACAAACCTAGAAGACGATCGCCTGCGATTCCTACGGGGATCATGGACTGGCGCACGATGTTTGGGCGCAGCTCGTCGGAGATTTCTGTATCGCACACCCTTTGTTCTACGAGTTTGCTCGAAAATCGTCGCGATGCGGTGACTTTTGCGTCGACGAAGTTAGCTCTGGAAAGGCTGAACAGCAGTATATAGCCTTGACAGGGGCAGAAATCGGCCTCTCGTGGATCGAGCTAAACGGAAATGCACTTGTTGCGTCGACGAGAAGCTCGAAGAAAACTTGAAATCGATTTCTCGATCGAAAGACGTTGAAACGTGACTGTAGAGTCGACGAGCTAGCTCTAGGAAGCTTAAAGAGGTATTAGCATCGACTTACACTCTACAGTCTCGTAACAGTAGCTAAGCGTTCAGTCAATAACCTTAGCTAGAGTAGACTGTATCGAAGTCTGTCCGCATACGAAATTTCAAGAATACATTACCTCGACCGTCGACGCCTTTTGTAGCTTCGAAATTGACTTTCTCCGATTGCACAATGTCTCGACGCGGCAAACTGTACAACTGCACAACAACGGCGTGTTCGTCGCGCGACGCCGACGTCGCCTTCGCCGGTGTGCACGCTATGATCGCGGTTGAAAATCGGAGAATAAATTATGCGGAAACGTTTAAGCTCGTCTGGCAGAACCGCGGTCCTAAATCTCTGCGAGAGAGCGGCTACGCCAAGGGATCCGTTTCGCTTCTAAAACACTCGAACGCGGGTAACGATGGAACGCAAGCTTTGCCAGAGTTTAACGGCTTTGTTCTCTCTCTCTCTCTCTCTCTCTCTCTCTCTCTCTCTCTCTCGCCGAATCTCTCGAATTCGTACAGCGCGTAGACCGTAGCGATTGGAACTCGAACAACAATAAGCGACAGCATAGTATTCTCGTAGCTCGAAGACGCTGTTGTAAATCGAAGTTCAGAGTTCCCAGACCAACGGTGTAAACGAACGGCGATCAATGAACGATCTACGAATGTTTACGTACAGCCGTTTCCAGGATCCGTTCAAATCCTTGCGCGTCAATTTTTTCAAACACATTCGAATACTTGTTCGAGGTCTCTCTCGGATCTAGTTTCTTCAAACTTATTTATCGACCGAATTAAACTATTGCAACAACGTATCTTCCATGGCTCTTGTTTAAAGATAATCGTAGAACTTCTTCTAGCTACACGCGGTTGAAAGCATCGTTGAAACTTTCTTTCGTCGACGCCGCATGTAACGTCCGGATAAACGAAGCGATCTAGGTGAATGATCTATCGCTCACGGGTTCGCCGCGCCCCTGCTATCTTTTATATAATATTATTATTCGATAATATCTCTCGTCTATTTCACCGCTTCGAAGTCGGCGCGACATTCTTCGATCGATAATTATCCGAGATTTATGTATCTTGCACGCATTGCGCAAACTGATCGACGTTTTCAAAGACGCACTATTACGCGATAAATGGTTACGGTAGATACCCTGCTGGTGACAGATGATCTTTGTTGAATAAAAATCACTCGATTCGTATGCACCGACTGTGTCGCGCTTCGCTCGTTCGCTTCGTAAACAATGATCTTGCGCTTTCCTTGAAACTACTTGTTACAGGGTGGATTTGAGAATTTCTGTTCGTAGTTCGATCGAAGATCGAGGTTAAATTCGATTCGAAAGAAATCTCGAGGAAACGGTTTTAAATCATCCGAGCGAACGATCAGGGATTTTCGAACGGCAGGTAAGTATTATTACACGGTAACGAGGGTACGCTTTCGTCGCTCCGTGCCACGAGCAATCAAAGTCCATAACGTCGATCGCGCGTTGCCTTGGCAGCGAAATTATTGTCAGTCGACGCGTTAATTGGAACAACTAATGCATTCGTTTGCTATGCGACGCGACGCCGTGATCGCGAATTCGGGGACCCATCGATCGGAAGGACGAATTCATTTTGAACAACTGCCGTTCGTGAATTCGGCCGATCGAAGTCCAAGGCTTCAATCGTCGGCGAAGGCTGGCGAGAAGCGACTTCGAAATCTGTCTTCTTCGAACGAACGCGTTCGAAGTACAAGAATTTCATTCTAGAGAACCGCCTCGTGTCGCAAAGATCGAATGAAACGACGGGTGCGCGACAATAGAAAGGCCAAAGATGAGCGTGGAATGCGAAGCGTGGAACACGAGGA